CTGAATGTGTACTGTTTATATTTTGCGTAGTTGGTCATTTGGCAACTCATAGTCTCCTAGCTCCTCATATGGCTAATCATTTCCGTTGTGTTGACGTTTTCAATATACATATTCTGCATGTGGTCCAAATTAACACAATTGCGACGGAAATATCACTGAAGAACAAAACAAAAACAACTATTTACTAAAGTTGCCTTTCTCTTCTGTATCATTAAATTCACAAGTAGAAGAATGGATTTTTTTAACAGATCACGTTAGAAACCAAGAAAGAATACAATGTGCCCAAAGAAATGATAGGTAATAAACGGAAATCTCTATACATCATCGCGATAAATGTTTTGACCCCGCGACCTCCAGTGTTGACAAACATGTCGGAGGGGACACGGAGGGAGGCTGGAAGAGAGAGCTTTTCGAGTCTTTTTCTCCCTCCAGAAGAATCGCAACGTGAAAATGAGCGTATGTATGGAACCATTGTATATGCAAGTATCATATGTAGGAAATTTGAGGGGAAATAAGGTCAGGTGAAGAGTTTAGATGGGTCAGTTCAGGGGAAATAGCCAGAAGCCTTGACCTCAAAGTTGAATTTAGTGTCCCCTTTGCCTGAATGAATCACCTTAATGACTCATTATTCATGGTGCCTGGCGACCTTTCCAGATTTTTCCAATCTATCTTCGATATCATTGTTTTTCTGTTTTCCTTGAACCAAAATGAAGGGAACCCGTGTTGTAAGAAGTGAATAACCACACTATTTGAAAAAGTAATACCCTATATACCTGTGTAATGTGATGATAGGTCTACGTGGTATTTTCGCAGAATAGGGCCACGTGAAATGAGGCTGAGACTTTCACGCTTCATGCTCTAGCAAAGACCAGCAAACCTCTCCCATGTCTATTTGGTAGGCTAGAACTTGAAAGAGTATTATTTGTGAAAATTAATGGCCAGAGAGGTCAACATGCTCTGCCAAGTGAGAATATATGTGGTGGCAGTATGTTTTCCAGTGTGACTGCACAAACTGCATAGGTAACAGTGCTGCAGGAATGATTATGGATTTTCATAAATGAATGTTGCAATTACCATACTTTCTGCAGATATGTGTATGTATGTAGTAGTTTTGGGTTTACCTAATTTTGAGGTGTGTCTTCTTTAAGGTGTAATTTTTTTGGATTACTTTTGCATAACTTTTTTTTGGTATTGATGTATTCCTCTCACTCTCTGCTAACCCTCCCATGGTGGGCTGCTTCCCCCCAATCTTCACGCTGGCCAATAAAGAATCTGCCAGTATATACTCAGTAGGAAAGTATGTTGTTTTTAATGGAAACATGGCAAGCAACATTAATGTATGGGCTGCGACCTGCGATCAAAGGATATATATGATGCGAGCAACAGTGATAAAATGGTGTTCTTTGTAACTTCATTTAAGCTGTATTTCACCCATTCACTTCAAGAACGAAGGATTTATTTATTCATAGCCCATAAATATCACCATGGGATGATACTTATGGCTTATGACATTATATTCACAGATGACAAAAGAATAAGATTCAGTGAGGTTTATCATGAACTAATTTTTAAAATGTAGCAAACAACTGAGAAAGATTAACAAATTTTTCATATATGTTTTGAAATTATCTTATTGAACTGTACTTTTTCTATAGCTGGAATATACTTGAAGAGAATAGTATAGTACATAATCAAGTTACATAAATAGATAGAAATATAGGTATATAATAGATAGGTTTCAAAAAGTTCCTTGATACCAGTTTAGTGATATTCTGCTAAAGAAGAAGAAAAAGAAAAGTTCCTTTTTTTTTATTGGTCCTTCAGTCTCTCATAGGGCTCACATACTGTGCCTAATGGATGACTTGGCATTGAGTATAAGTAGAGGGATTCCACTGCATGGTGTAATTCATAGGTATAGTTATATGTGTGAGTGTGTATCACATTATGTAATGTAAGTAAGAGAGAGTTATTCTAGAAAAACATACTCATATATTGTTTTCTAACTTGCAGCTCCCAACACTAATAACCAAAGGGACTCAGATATCCCCAACGAGTATGGCAATACAAGTATTGACTCGGAAAGCAGTGATTACAGAGTACTTCATGAAGAACAAGAGCAAACACAGACATCCTTTTGCCCGATATCATCAAGCTGGGAGATGAACTATCATGAGGCTGCAATATTCTTGGAAGTAAGTGATGAGAATATTCTCATGTATTGTGATTCTTTGTTTGTGTTTCCATGGGTCTGTTTCTCTTGTCCTTCCATCAGGTTTTCCCCACTTTGTTCCTTTGATTTTTAGCATTCCTGTTTTCTTCTCAACTTGACCTTATGTTGTAGTCTGAAAAAGAGAAAGAGAGAAATGTGTGTGTGTGTGTGTGTGTGTGTGTGTGTGTGTGATTGTATTTGTGTCTATGCAATGTGTTTGTGAGTGCAATGTAAGTCACTTTAATTTGTGATCTTTAATCTATATGTTTTCTGTTATCTGTGTTTTTTTTGTTTATGTGTACTATGAAATCATAACAATTAATTAACTACATTTTATCATGTTTTTAGGAAGGAGAAAACAATGACAAATTCAATAGCCACCCCCGCGACCGCAATGCCCTGCCAGCTTACCTCGTAACACACAACCATTGGTTCTATTCCCTCGATTTAGCAGCTGCTTTACTCCTCATGTCTCTGGCAGTCATAGAGCAGCCAGCAGTGTTTGAGGTAGGCATGACTATGACATTTCCTTTTCTACCCTTTGCCTCTTATCATCATCATCATACTTCATATCCTTTTCCTCCTCCTCTTCTTCCTCCTCCCCCTTTTCCTTCTCCTTTTTTTCCTCCTACCCCTTTTCCCCCTCCTCTTCTCTTCCTACTCCTTTTCCCCATCCTCTTTTTCCTCCTCCTCTTCTCTTCCTACCCCTTTTCCCCATCCTCTTCTTCCTCCTCCCCCTTTTCCTCCTCTCTTTTTTCCTCCTCTCCTTTCCCCCTCCTCTTCTTCCTCATCCTCCTCTCCCATATCTCTTTCTCCTCCCTTTCTTTCAACTTGCATTCCCCTTCTTCCTCTCCTTTCTCTTCCTCTTCTCCTTCATGTTTCTCATCTTCCTCCTCTTTGTCTTCTTTCTTCTCCTTTCCCTCCTATTCATTATCAGTTGTTATCACATCACTATCATTATGATTCATTACCATTCATGGTCATCATGCACCATTATACCCTTATCATCATTCATTGTCATCATCAATCCTCATCTTGCATCCTCATAATCCATCCGCATCCATCTCTATCACCATTATCATCACCATCATCATTATCATCACTGTCATCATTATCACCACTCTCATCATATTCACCACTGTCATCATTATCACCACCATCATCATAATCATCACTGTCATCATATTCACCACTGTCATCATTATCACCACTGTCATCATAATCATCACCATCATTATTATCGTCTCCATCATCATCATCATTAGTCATTGATTGTCAATCGTATTGTATCCATACCAATGTGTTGTTCATTAGGTTTTATATTGTTCCAGGTTATAATTATGTTCTCAGGATGATTATGCTGTTTTCAGGGAGTTCCTGTTGGAGTTCATGGATCCATAGAACTTTTTGGTCTCTTTCTTGTTGGCATATCTATTGTCATGCAGCTCAGATGGCTCGGCCTGCGAACCTTCGTCCAACATAAGCGTTCAGCCGTGAAGGTGTGTTGGTTGTGAAGTTGGTTGTCATTACCCCATGAAGTTGATGTTATGTGGGAAATTTTATGGAACATCTTTCATATGATGATGTATCCACTTGTTTTATTATTGCTTGTTTATTTTTCTGTGTTTGCATTCATTCACATATATACATGTAGTAAAAGGAACTTTCATTAAATGAAAACAAGAAAAGTAATTTTTCAAAGAAATTAAAATCTATTAAGGGGTAATTTAGAAAGATTAAAGATTTTTATTAACTTCAGCCATGATGAAATGCTATTATGATTTGCATGTTTGCAGAGTGTGACATGGGTTGTCATGATAATTGAAGCAGTAGCAGTAATAGTCCGAAACACAAGCCATTTTCGCGTCACACGAGCTCTGCGTCCTATCTTCTTTGTGGACAGCAGATACCTAGGTGGTGTCCGAAGGTGTGTATGTGTCTTCGTACTTTTTTCTTTTCATTTCATGAGCTCCATTAAGTAAAGACTTAAGTCCATGCTGATGATCTTCAGAACAAGGATTAGTTTTAAGAGACCAGTTGAAGAAGAGATTCTTTGATAATTTTTATTGCCTTACGCAAACTCATCATCTCTGTAGGTAGTGTATAACTCTGTGCTGTAACTCTGTAGTACACCTCTGCCACCAGTCAGCAGACAGTAATAGATCCTGAGCATGGAATTAATGTCCTCCCTGGAGCTGTTACTCTTCCAGTCATGGCTCATGGCTGGTACATTTCACACTTGTTTACCAGTGGAAACAATGTAAGAGCCCCTTCCTAAATGCATACTGAGTCTGATCACCCTCCGACAGCTTGGTGCACTTGTTGCAAGTCATTCCCACTGCCCCGGCTTTCAGTTAGATTTTTCCTTGATGGCATATTCTTGTCACCTGGCTCTCAACTAAGTTTTTCCATGACAGTATATTGCTGTCACCTTATTCTCAGCTAAATTATTTGTAATATGATGGTCATGTTACTTGAATCCAAGGGGTTAAGAGTAAAATAGATTATGGATCATCATATATATGGTGTATTCCATGAATAAGCATTAAAGACTTCACTTTTTATTTGATGATAGCAAATACCGTATTTTCACTGTGTATGTTTTTTTTCCCCCTTAGATTTCTGAGGCAGATACTTCAGTCAGTTCCACCGATCCTTGAAGTACTGGGAATTCTGTTATTTATCCTCATTATTTTCACCACACTAGGATTCTACCTCTTTAGCCCGGACCAGAAAAATCCCTATTTCACTACATTCCATCAGGGATTCGTGTCCCTCTACGTACTCCTCACCACAGCAAAGTGAGTTGCGATCTCATTTTTCCTTTCACTGTTTGATTTTTACCTCAGTTCCTTCATTAATTCATATAGCGATTCTTTTTGTCAGTGACATATATATCATGCAAAAACCTTATTTTCACAAGTTACAAAGTAGATTAGAATAGATATAATTCTCAAATGGAATAGTCACGAGATTTCGCAAACTTTACACGCTGATTTCCTGTCAGTTTTCCAGACGTGATGATGCCGGCTTATGCCAAGAGCCGATGGAGTGCTGCTTTCTTCATCGCATTCCTCGCCATCAACTTATATTTTCTTATGAATTTGGTGTGTATTATTATTTTCTGCTGATCTATATTATTTTTGAAGAAAATTGTGTAATTGAATCAAATTTGTTTTTGACTTTTACTTCTTTCTGTGTGTGTTTTTTTAATGAATTGAGTGGGTAATATAATGCTGCATATTTTGGTAGTTGCCAAAGTGAACTGCTATTTTGAGTGAAGTTTGTGTTTTCTTTGTTTTGTTAAGTGTGTCCTAATTTGCTGTTAATATGGTTTTTATTGAAGTGGGAATATGAATTGGATTTTATTTTATTTCTTCTCTCTCTCTCTCTCTCTCTCTCTCTCCTCTCTCTCTCTCTCTCTCTCTCTCTCTCTCTCTCTCTCTCTCTCTCTCTCTCTCTCTCTCTCTCTCTCTCTCTCTTCTCCTCTCTCTCTCTCTCTCTCTCTCTCTCTCTCTCTCTCTCTCTCTCTCTCTCTCTCTCTCTCTCTCTCTCTCTCTCTCTCTTCTCTCTTTCTCTCTTCTCTGTCTCTGTCTGTCTCTGTCTCTGTCTGTCTGTCTGTCTCTGTCTGTCTGTCTGTCTCTGTCTGTCTGTCTGTCTCTGTCTGTCTGTCTGTCTCTGTCTGTGTCTCTGTCTTTCTGTCTTCTCTGTCTCTGTCTGTCTGTCTCTGTCTCTGTCTCTGTCTCTGTCTCTTCTCTCTCTCTGTCTCTCTCTCTCTCTCTCTCTCTCTCTCTCTCTCTCTCTCTCTCTCTCTCTCTCCTCTCTCTCTCTCTCTCTCTCTCTCTCTCTCTCTCTCTCTCTCTCTCTCTCTCTCTCTCTCTCCCCCCCCCCTCCCTCTCCCTCTCTCTCTTGCTCACTTAATATTTCAAATTTTTTCTTTGTTTAAATTTTTTGTTTCCTCAAAAGTGGTTACTATAATATTTAAACTAAAGCATTCATTTTGGTTTTCCCCTTGTTGTCCCATTATTCACAAGTGACCATTTCTATTTCAGATGCTTGCCGTGGTGTTTGTGGTCTTCAGTGACATTGAGAAAGACAAGTTCCGCAAGCTCCTACTCCACAAGAGAAAGGCCTGCCAGTATGCTTTCCGCCTGCTGGTCACACGATCCCAGCCAACGCACATTCCCTTCCGGCATTTCCATGGCCTCATCAAGTTCTTCCGACCCCAAACCAGTTAGTGTTTTGTGTTGGCTTTGCAATCACAGGGTCCTAGGTTTGTTTCTGGGCAGCCCCTCTCAGTTGACTTAACTGTGATGAGTGCTGGCGATACCTCAAGGTCAAAACTAGGGAGGAAAGAAACTAGCCATCCTACCACATTATTCCTTTGCTTTGTGCACGTGTCCCTCTATAGGAAATCCCCTACATCTACCTAGATAAGGGACCAACATTGACTTTGAGAGCATCATATACTTCCATTTGTCTGAGATAAGCATATGAAAATAGACTCTTGTGATACTTTCACACTTTAAATTCCACTTCAACTACCCTTTCAAAATCCTAATACCGCTCTTTCCCTTCAGGTTGGCGAGATGCTTACCTGGCATTTAAATCCCTGAACCGCACGGAAACAGGCCTGCTGAACCTTTCTGAATTTTACAATATATATGATATTTGTGAGTTCAAATGGAAACCCTGCCAGTCTGCCGACCCTTGGTTCATTGACCTTCCAAATCCTCTCCGGGGATGTTGCTTCCTCATCCGTCGGCTTGTGATGTGGAAATGGTTCGACTTTTTCATATGTAAGAATGTCATCCTTGTTAATACCTTTTTCTTTTTTTCTTTTTTCTTTCAGTCTTTCTTTTCTTCATCTTTTTCTTTTTTGTATACATTTTTTTTTTTTTTTTTTTTTTGCTCTCTCTCTCTCTCTTTCCTTTCCATTTACTGGCATTGTGATGATGTCTTTCTATGATTATTGGTTATGGCATTTATTCAGATACAGCAGACTTACATGAAATTAAATATCTTTCTTTTTTACTTTTCATTTGAATGTCTGTGCAGGGGATTTGATCACAGGTATGTGGATGTATCAAAGGATTTACTGTTACTAATTATTTAGATCCTTGTCACGTGGTGTGTTGTTACACCCTGTGGTTAACCAGTATTAATGTTAATAGAGTAGATGTATTGTGTATAATTAGTGTAGGTTTAGTGCAATAAGCTGTATATTATCTAGCCTCTTGCCGCATACTTAGAAATTACTGTTAACCCACTTGCGATGGGTGTCACATTTA